GTGTATGTGTGGCGAGTGTGGCAAGACGTTTCTCGCGCTCGGCCTACATGTGTTAAACTGTGTGTACCCCTGATGTTTTAAAGATGGCAATTCTCCTGCTGTATATTCTACTGCTGTCTCTCCCGGCCATATCTAGTGCCACACTCAACTCTACAAACGGCTACCCTCGTTACTTCGCATCCATACTTGTTGTTCAATTTGCCACTACACCTGCTAATTAAACAGCTTATAGACAATTCTACACTCCATCATTGAATCCTTTTCAACCTTATCTTTGTCCCATTACTTCACCAGCACTCCTTTCAAACTTCATTCTGCTCTTAAGAATATCACCACCTGCAAGCTGCTGATATTCATCCAAGGTTCGCCGCTCTTCATCCTTTCACAGAAAATACCTGTGCAAACTATTAATTCTACTTTTCTTATTTCTGGGTGGTATTGAGCTTCATCCTGGCCCAAATGTAAAGAAATCGTATAATTCTATAGATTTTTCTGGCAGAAAAGGTGTTGGTGTTCTACACGTCAACATCAGAGGGCTTGTGATTAAATTAAGTCAACTAAAATTAGAAGTGGCAAGCCTGGACCCGGATATTTTTTGCCTAACAGAAACATTTCTCACTCCTGCTGTAAATGACTTGCAGATTACGATTGACAACTATAACCTTTTTGAGCTTGACCGAGGATCTAAAGGAGGTGGAATTGCCATCTATGTTTGTAATACTATTGCATGTTCACCAGCTCACTCGTTTAAAAAAATTGTATTGAAGGTCTTGTTCTCAGAATAACTCTCCCAAATAATCAACAGATATTGGTAGTGTCCTGCTATAGACCGCCTAGTGGGAAGGATGTTGAAGCTGCGTCTGCACTGAGAGAGCTTCTTGGGGGCCTCCCTAAAGGTGAAATAGTTTTAGTAGGTGATCTAAATTGGAATAGGCTAAAATTGCCGGCCGTGGCCACAAATTTTGCAGATAGATGTAACCTGTTTCAATGAATAAATGTTCCCACAAGACCCAACCTAAAAAATCAGGGAGTCATGTCTGCTTGACGTCCTATTGACAAATGCCCCTCACAATTTCGCACTGACTTGTGTTCTGGATAATAACCTTAGTGATCACTCTTTCATATTTGGGGTGAAATCATCAGCCAGACCCAAAGCCCCCCCTAAATTGGTTGAGAAGCACTCCATGAGATACTTGAGCATTCAGGCATTTACTAATGATGTGCTTCACTTGGATATTGACAAGGTCTCTGAAATCACTAACCCGACTACGGCTTGGGAGACCTTCAGGTACACGTTTCTCCAAATTCTTGACAAACATGCTCCGTTGGTTAGATTTAAAACTAAAGGCAACCGCCCACCATGGTTTGATCCTTTGATTACTAAGCTCATGAAAACTAGGGACAAGGCTTGGGCACTTGCCCCAACATTCTGTCCAGGCTATACGGGGGATCTGTGTCTGTGTGTTCGGAGCAAGTTTGAGTGGCGTGTAGCCATGGGAGTTAAACGGGTGCATGCCGCTACAGTCATTGACTATGGTTGGACAGACGCTGATAGACAAGACACACACAGACAGACAAGACAGGCGGACAGACACAGACAAGAGGAACACAGAGACAGAGAAAGATAGAGACGACAGAGACAGAGAGAGACACACAGAGGCGGACAGAGATGTTGAATCGAACACACTTAACTCGCTCCATGGAAAGAGTTTCCTCGATCTTTGCCCATCCCCGGAAGTCGTTCTAGTTTATATTTATTTCAGTGTGGCGTGTACATGTTTAACGGGTTCCGGAGACACTTGTAGAGGTAACTTCTTTATTACAATACAACACTCCAACAGTCCTGATACTCTGTTACAGCCTAGGTACACAGCCTAGATACACAGCCTAGATACTCTACTCTGGCTACGCTCTGGAACTCGCCTCAGAAGGTCGTCGAGTCGGGAGTTCCAGAGTCCCACCACTGGCTCTCACAGCATCCCAGGGTCTTCAGATGGCTGGTCGTGGGTCTTGGGTCTTGAGTTACAACTGGGCCCTGATCGTCCAGGGAGCTCTCCTTTTATGCCCAGTCCCCAACGAGGGGTGGGGCCGTGTGCGCCACCAGACATATCACAGAGCACACACAGCCCCCCCCCACCCCCGTTGGCGGCGCCAAGAGGCTTAAGCGTCTGGACCCGCCTGAGAACCCAACGCCTGGTGCCAAGAGGCTTAAGCGTCTGACCCACCCAGGTCCCAGAGCCCCCAGCAGCCCCTCCCTTCTTATGTCACTACATTACCCCCTCTATGTAGCCTCCAGCCGTCCCGGCTGTCAATAATTAGAAAGTTTAAATTAACGAAAGGGAGAGAGAGAAAAAAAATACGCGAGCCTCAACAGGAAAAGAAAAGAGAACAAGAAAGCAACCATAAATACCATAACCAACCTGTACAGCTCTACACTATATACAAGCATCAATCAACAAAAAGGTGAAGCAATGATACGTGAACAAACGACCCGCGGCACACCTAGCCCTCCTCGGGATCCGCATAGAAAACGGGGAATTAACAACAACAAATATACAGATTCCGACGCCTTGGATGCACAACCACCGCATGGATGGCAGGGTTCCACACCACCAGTGTTGGAGAGTCAGGACTGTTGGAGAGTTGGACTGTTGGAGTGTTGTATTGTAATAAAGAAGTTACCTCTACAAGTGTCTCCGGAACCCGTTACATTTGGTGCTTGTAGAGGTAACTTCTTTATTACAATACAACACTCCAACAGTCCTGATACTCTGTTACAGCCTAGGTACACAGCCTAGGTACACAGCCTAGATACTCTACTCTGGCTACGCTCTGGAACTCGCCTCAGAAGGTCGTCGAGTCGGGAGTTCCAGAGTCCCACCACTGGCTCTCACAGCATCCCAGGGTCTTCAGATGGCTGGTCGTGGGTCTTGGGTCTTGAGTTACAACTGGGCCCTGATTGTCCAGGGAGCTCTCCTTTTATGCCTGGTCCAACGAGGGGTGGGGCCGTGTGCGCCACCAGACATCCCACAGAGCACACACAGCCCCCCCCCCCCTCCCCGTTGGCGGCGCCAAGAGGCTTAAGCGTCTGGACCCGCCTGAGAACCCAACGCCTGGTGCCAAGAGGCTTAAGCGCCTGGCCCACCCAGGTCCCAGAGCCCCCAGCAGCCCCTCCCTTCTTATGTCACTACACATGTAAGCAATGTGGGATATCTATGTACACAGATATGAACAAGATCAGCAGACGAGACGTCTTTCATACTCATCGGTTCTTTCGGTAAAGTCACGTAGGTAGAAAAAATAAAATAAATCGCGACGTTTCGATCACTACAAGCGGTCGTCCTCAGGCGAAAACATCTAGACATTTTCGCGGCAGAAGTCATGTGAGCTACGGCACGTGACATATATAAGGTGACCCCCCCCCCCCACTGTGACTTGTCCCGCTCAGCTGAGCATTGTTTTAATGCGGTGGGCTCACGCGAAATTGATTTCTGTAAGACAAAGGTACTTTGAAACCCACTGGCTATACTCTTATATAAGCACACAACTTCATCTACCTATGACGAACGCTGCACTTTCCGTCGTTTTCATGCAGGGGGCGCTGCAAACATACGCACCCCCTGTATGAACGACGGAGGCGCAGGGACAGACGTTCGATCATGTTGGAATCGATCTACGGACGGCGGTCTTCTCGTACAGCCAGCTCTGTGCCGCCTTATTTCGATCCCGCAATCCCGAAAAGGTGAAGCTCCGCATGGAACCAAATCCCCGGCAAGGCCATCTACTTAACAACGAAAGGAAATTTACACGAAATGTCGTTTTCAATTAAGTCTACCAGATGTAAAATGATATAAGCTTTTAATGAAGAAATACAATTATCTAATTCAAAACATAATACAATTCAACGTTGTTTCATTTTCAAACTTTAAAACGGACCATCAGGAGCTTGCGTGGATGCGTCGTTGGTGCGCAGCTTTTATTCATGACTTTCCTGGCCCAAGGCCGTAAATGGTTCTGAGGGGCTTGCTTCAACCCATGGTTGTGAACATTCAGACGTTAATCAGCAAGGATAATTTCTAGTCCTAGTTCGACAAAATCTACGTCAACACGTAATACAAAATTATAATTCGTGTTGTAGAGAATGTACCTCCTATTCGTGTAACTTTTGAGTGGTATGCCTTGCAACTGATGAATGATCCGAATGCACTCCCTATTTCAAAGACAATGAGTTGCTCCAAAGGGAGATGCTTCCTGAAAACACAAAAGTACCCTTTGACCTGTATCACAAAAACAACGGGTCTCACCAGAGTGATCTGTCCAGGTTACTTCCAAAACACACACTTTGTCCTAACATCACTTAATCAATGTTTAACCCTTATAGACAAAATGTTACATGTACACACACAATCATACAAGTATTAATTCTAAATTATTGAGTCATTTTAACAAAATTTAATTACTGCACCTAATTATGCTGCATCAGGTTACATCGTATTAACAATGAGTTATTTTAAAAAATACCCACCGTCTGCTTAAGTGTATGTACATCTTCTTGGTTCTTTCTGTAAAGTCACGTAGAAGGGAAAATAATAAAAATAAAACATAATAAAATAATTCTCACAAAGTTTCGGCTACAACGCAAGTAGCCGTCCTCAGGTGAAGAATGAAACACCACCAAGCTTGGAGCGAATATTTAAGCTGGGTTGGCGGGGGAAGAAGAGCGCCTTGACAAAATTATTTGCATATCAAGAGGAATTTAGCATATTTATGGTAAATGCATAGGAGGTGGGCGGGGGGTTTCAAAGTCATATTATGCCCGTGCATTATGCAGGATTAGCAGCATCAAAGGGAGGGGACAGGGGGGTAGAATTAACAAAGGGAAGGAATGTTAAATTCCTCTTGATATGCAAATTAATTTGTCAAGGCGCTCTTCTTCCCCCTCCAACCCAGCTTAAATATACGCTCCAAGCTTGGTGGTGTTTCATTCTTCACCTGAGGACGGCTGCTTGCGTTGTAGCCGAAACGTCGTGAGAATTATTTTATTATGCTGTATTTTTATTATTTTATTATTTCCCTTCTACGTGATGACTTTACCGAAAGAACCAAGAAGATGAATCCCTGCAGTCACGAAAGCTTTAAATCGAAGTGAATGTACAACATAATAGTGTAATTCAAAACGAGTAGGCCATTGCATTCTGACGTCTGGGTCAAAATTGATCAAATTCTAAAACATTACCGACAAACTCCACAACTAAGATGCCACATCAACCACCGCCCCCTACTGACAGGCTCTTGTCCACATGCAGGCCGGTGCAGGGCCACCTCCTTGTGCCACACAGGGGCAGCTGCTACTTGGGGATGCTCTTCGAGTGTTTGAGACAAGATACGATACAAAACTCCAAGTTGCTGAGGCAATTAAGCAAGCACCATGTAAATGCAATTATGATTACATATCGAATGCTTGGGAGCTTATTGGCTCTCACTCCTGGTTAGAGATCTACGCAACCCACAGGTCCACAAAGACTGGCCGCTCTTGCCCTGCAGGTTGAACCTAGGTATTGAGCGTTCAACTTCACATTCTTGTAATTAAAGGCCTGTGACAAAGGTGCGTCTATTGGAGCGACATCATCTCAAGCTACACATCTACCGGGTCTCCATTTGACTTTGTATTGTTTCAGAGGAAGTCCACCCACACCTCAACTTCCACAAACTGCTGGGAGTTGCCTCGCTCTGCCTCACAGTCAGAATTCTCCTCCTGCTTCACGTTGCCTCTATCGATGTGAAGGTCTGATTTTGGAGTTGAATCTTCATCTTCACATTTTACCTTCACTTCTTCGCTCTTGACCATCACTTCTTCACGTTTCACCTTCACCTCTTCATATTTCACCTTGATACCTTTAAAAGTGTCTAAGCTGGGATTTTCTTCCGGTTCTTGTTTAATGAGGGATGGGCTCATTGCGGCACTTTGACTTTCACAAGCTGATTTCAGACTCCACTCCTTCTGGATCTTCTGATGCTTGTGTGTTCTCTGGTGTGCGTGAAGAATTGATGAAAGTGCAAACGTCTTCCCGCAAGGAGTGCACCTGAAGGGGTTCTCTCCCGTGTGTGTTCTCTGGTGTGCTACAAGAGGAGATGAACGTGAAAACGCCTTCCCACACACACTGCACTTGAAGGGTTTCTCTCCCGTGTGTGTTCTCTGGTGTATTCCAAGAGTAGATGACTGTGCAAACGCCTTCCCACAAACACTGCATTTGAAGGGTTTCTCTCCCGTGTGTGTTCTTTGGTGTGCTACAAGAGGAGATGAAAGTGCAAACGCCCTCCCACAAACACTGCACTTGAAGGGTTTCTCTCCTGTGTGTGTTCTCTGGTGGTCTACAAGAGTAGATGAGCGTGCAAACCCCTTCCCACACACACTGCACTTGAAGGGTTTCTTTGCCGTGTGTATTATCTGGTGTTTTGCAAGAGTAGATGACTGTGCAAACGCCTTCCCACACACACTGCACTTGAGAGGTTTCTCTCCTGTGTGTGTTCTCTGGTGTTCTACAAGAGTAGTTGACTGTGCAAACGCCTTCCCACACACACTGCATTTGAAGGGTTTCTCTCCTGTGTGCGTTCTCTGGTGTGCTACAAGAGAAAATGAATGTGCAAATGCCTTCCCACACACACTGCACTTGAAGGGTTTCTCTCCCGTGTGTGTTCTCTGGTGTATTGCAAGAGTAGATGACTGTGCAAACGCCTTCCCACACACACTGCACTTGAAGGGTTTCTCTCCCGTGTGTGTTCTCTGGTGTATTACAAGACAAGATGAACGTGCAAATGCCTTCCCACACACACTGCATTTGAAGGGTTTCTCTCCCGTGTGTGTTCTCTGGTGTGCTACAAGATGAGATGAAAGTGCAAACGCCTTCTCACACACACTGCACTTGAAGGGTTTCTCTCCTGTGCGAGTTCTCTGGTGCCGTGTCAAATTTCCAGTACGATCCATGCTGAAAGCACCGAGCCGCGCAGAGTGCCTTTGCTCCATTAGACTAATTCTGCAGAGAAAGTGACAGCTGCAGACAGAAAAAAATATATCAACACCATCTACACGTCAGTATCGATACACAGAGGAATGCATATTTACACAGACAAATGTCTATACCTATTCATATATTCATGATATAGTGAAATAGTGTCCGAAATTCATCACACGGGCTGTTATGGCACACAATGAGAAGGCAAATGGTCACAAACATGCCTAGAAGCCCTCGTATCTTCAAAATGAATGTTAACCCAATACTCCGAGCACACAAAACGGCTGTCTGGCTACAAAAGTAATCTTTATGAAAGCTAAATTCAGCTGACAAAGCAAAGGCTGTTGAAAATAATACTATTTGTTTTGATTTAAAGCTTTCGTGACTGCAGGGATTCATATTCTTGGTTCTTTCGGTAAAGTCACGTAGAAGGGAAACAATAAAAAAATAAAAAATATAAAACAATACAATTCTCATGATATTTCAACTGCAACACAAGCAATCTTTATCAGGTGTGGAAAAAAACACACCTGATGATGATTGCTTGTTTTGAAGTCGAAACGTCGCACTTGCGGGGGATTTGGCTCTCGGACGGTGGCCTTCACGTAGAAAAAAATTTGCCGAGCGACACGCCCTAAGCCCCGCGGTGGGAATAGGCTATTCCATTTTTCCATCCGTAAACGTTAAAGTAGTTTAATTAACACATTTGTGCCGTTTCTATAATTCATTATTTACTTATTGCACATCGACCGTACCAACTGACGCCAATTGCGTGATGGGGCGGACCCTACCAAGTGCTGCGCATTCGCTCCAGCTCACGGGGGACATTTCCTTTTACGCGTTTTACAGGCAATACATACACACATAACGCTGCGGATATTTATTCACAGTGTCATGTCCTCTTGCCCCCCCCAACACGATGCGTCCAGTTTATACTGCAGACTCCGTAGATCATATTTCAGTGCTTGCATACCATTATTCATGCACGCCCGGGGGATGCTGGGGGGAGGGGTAGTGGACCAGCCCCTAGCCTGCCAATGTGACAACTCTGCTGCCTCGCCAATGTAGGCCAGGACGGGGGCTACGCATGGCACAAGGCCTCAACATGGCTATGGTAAGTACAAAGTCCATTGCTTCTTACGCTAACAACTCAAGTCCATTGTTTACTATTGTTAAACACATTAGTTGACAAACATTACTATAATAATGTTTGTGTCCAGATAAGAACTCACGTTGATTGCTTATTATTATTTAAACAATACGTTGCCAGATATTGTGTGCAGATAACAACTCAGGTTCATTGTTTACCATTACGAAACAAGTTGACATGTTACAATAATTATGTTTGTGTACACAAAACTCTTTTTGGATTTTTAGGTTGCTCATTTTTCCCTTTTTTGCTGTCTTTTATGACGCTGCCACGGTCTACTGCCAGTCTGTGATTTGATTATTTCTTCAATAAATTTATATTGTTTCCATCGCTCACGTCACGCTATTTCCTCATACGTAGTACTGCCATACTGATAGCTGTGCCATCATCGGGGATTGCTGTGCCCGTCGATGTGTGTGTCTTTGAGTCCATATGTGTGTGCGTGTAGAGCCATGCGTGTCTTTAACTCCATGTGTGTGTCTGTCTTTTTCTAACGGACAATGCCCCATGTGTGTGTATGTCAAAGTGGTTATGTGTGTGTGTCAGTCCAAGTGTGCGTGTCAGTCCATTTGTGTGCGTATCAGTCGCTGTGTGTGTAAGTCCATGTGTGTTTACGTCAATGTGTGTGTGAGTCCATGTATTGCTGTGTGAGTCGGTGTGTGTGTGAGTCGCTGTATGTGTGTACATCCATATATGTGTGTGTATCTTAAGTGCATGTCTATGTGTGTGTGAGTCCATATGTGTGTATGTCTGTAAGTCGATGTGTTTGTGTGAGTCGATATGTGTGTGTCTCAGTCCATGTGCGTGTTAGTCAGTGTAACTCCATTTCTTTGCGTGTCTGTAGGTCCATGTGTGCATCTTAGTCCATGCGTGTGCTTTATTGACCTGCTCAAGGCCTATGATACCATCAGTAGGCCTGGCCTCTGGGTTGCTCTTTGTGCTTTCCGAGTCCCTGACCCACTAATCACCATCCTTAAGGACCTTCATGATGGCGAGCCGCCCCGCGTCTAAATACGTGGCCGTGAGTCAGAGCCATTCCCTTTCCACCTTGGGGTGCAACAGGGATGTCCTCTGGCTCCCACATTATTTTACATATATTTGGACCACGTAGTTCATCAAGCCTTCAATGCCTGTACCGGAAGAATTCCCATCTGCTACAGAAACAATGGGAGGCTGATCGATGCCCGGGTGCGGTCAAGGGATGGCACTCTATTGTTCAACCACGTTATGTATGTCGATGATCTGCTAATTGCAACTCACTTGGAGGAGGAGTTCGAGGTGCTGCTGCTGAACCTGGAGCTTGCCACCAAGAGGTGGGGGCCTTACCATCAGCCCCACCAAAACTAAGCACCTTCCTGGCTATTTTGTACCATTGGACACTCCACCCCCACAACTCCCAATTGGTGATGGGGCATTTGTGGAGACAGTGGAGAATTTCCCATACCTTGCCAGTGTGCTAATGACCGGCTCTGGTTTAACAGCAAAGGTCTCACTCCGAATCAGTCAAGCTGCATTATCTTTTCATTGGCTGCGTAACACTGTGTGGAAGCTACCTGGTCTATCACTCCGTACGAAGCTTCAGGTCTTCTCGGCCACGGTCATTCCCTCCCTTCTCGATGCTTGCGAAACTTGGACCCCCTAATGGAACATCTTCGCCAATTATAAACATTTAGGATGGCTTGCCTACGATCCATCCTGGGTTTAACCAGGCTGCATTGTGTGAGGAGCTCACAAATCCTTGAAAGATGTGGACAAAGTCCCATCGGTGACCTCCAGCAGGCAAGGCTGCGTTGCCCGAGTCATGTAGCCCGCATGGCCAGCCACCGCATGCCTAAACAGCTTTTGTCCGACCGGATCGAGGGGGCTAAGCGGGCGCGGCACGGGCTGGAGAAGACATTTAGTGATCTGGTACAGGATGACTTGGAGCTGAGTCCACTTGCGGATGACTGGTACCAACGGTGTCAAGATCGGCCTCTGGAGCAGGCTCCTGAAGGACGCTACTGGGCAGTTGGAATCAGTCACCCTCCAACAACAACGGAGGGCGGAGGAGTGACGCTCACAACAATGAGCGGAGCGCCGGGTGGCTAAAGCACAGAAAGTTGCCACAGTAGGGGCCACAGGTGGTGCATCAGCCAGTCGTCTCAGTCAGTCGATCTGTGCCATCTGGGTTTGCCCCCTGACCTCCTGCCAGCGGGCGTTCGACACTTCATGTGGCCTCAAGGTGCACATAGCCTGGCACAAGCATTGTCGTGACGTCACCGCCACTTAGTGGTGAATGGCGGTTTTTGTTCAGTCTATGTATGTATGTGTGAGTCGATTTGTGCGTGTAACTCTGTGTGTGTGAGTCGATTTGCGTGTGTAACTACATGTGTCTGCCTTTTTTGCCCGGGCAACGCCGGGTACTAACCGCTAGTACAATTATAATACTATGAAACACAATTTTTGTTCCTGCGTACAAAGTGTTATTGTTTTTATTGCTTATGCCTAAAAAGTATAGAAAATCGCTATTATTCCCCACAAACTTTGCTTTTGTGACCAGGACTTTATGTGAACGAAAAGACACAAATTTATCATTGAAAATAGGTAAATTTCAAAATATCACTGTCCTAGTCACAAAAGCAAAGTTTGTGGGGAATAATAGCATTTGCTGTACTTTTAAGGTATATGCAATTAGGAAATAACACTACCCAGGAACAAAAATGTTTTTTTGTTACACAGTGTAATAACTACGCCACCGCTCCCCACATAAATAAACTCTTACAGATGTAGTGACATTGCGGGATGTCACTGTGTAGTGCCGGCTCTAGAGAGGCACGGCGTGCGGTGTAACGACATCGCGGATACCATTATGGTGAGTGTAGTACTGGCCCTAGAGGGGCTCGGTGAGCGCTGATTGATATCGCCGGATGGCACCACGCTTGGCGTGTAGTGCCGGCCCTACAGGATAGGGTGTGGGAGTGCCAGCCGTAGGAATGAGGTTACTAAAGGCCATGGCACTCTGGTTGACCCGAGAGGGCACGTGACCAGTTAAGTCTACAAAGGGGCCCAAAGTGGGGGCTAGGGGTGGTCACGTGGTCGGGGTCCAGATCCTGCTCGAGGATTCTGAAAGGTGGTCGTGGCCAAGGGCGGAGCCAGCCACACCGCTAAAAATATAAGCCGGGTCCCCCAGAGGAACCGGCGTTGTTGTTCAACCTGAAGAAACGTTCGTCTACGTTCCACCAAGTCTACAACATGTGGAACTGGACCCGAGCTGTGGTCCCGGTCCGTAGTAGCTCGTTACGTTGTAATTAGTGCAGTTAGCCTGGTGGTCACCACCACAGGTTGTTATTCTGTTAAGGGGCAGTTACCCCGTGTGTTGGTGTTAAATAAATGTGTTGCCTCCAAGTGTACGTCTGCGACTCAGTTGAACTCACTACACATACATTTCACATGAATGCCATGTAAGTGTGGATCACTTGTCAGCAGGTCATTGGAATGATCCAGGTGTCAAGGGATGAATGACTGAGATGTTTGACAGATGCACCAGCTGTGCTTCACACTGTCTTGCTGCATTTTAGGCACCCGGCGTTCCACCCATTCATGTGAGCGTTGCTCCTCCGATCTCACTGTTGTTGCAGAGCAAATATCTCCAACTGCCCCGCAGCATATATCACGGGCCTCCTCCACAGAGGCTGATCATGACACTCCTGGTACCAGTCATCAGCAGGTGTGATCAACTTCACATCCTCCAATCTCTTCTCAAGCCAATGCCATTCCTGGTTTAGCTCGTAACACCTGGACTAACAGAAGATGCTTGAGCATGCTGTCTGTT